GAGAGAGCGATTCGAGAATGGTGGAGTGCCAATGATGATGAGAGGAGAAGAGAGCAGGCTTCTCCGATTTAGAAACGTGAACGATGAAGGTCTGCTGATCGTCCGGAAAACGGGAGAAAATCACCGGAACGAAACAGAGGAGGAAGAAGAAGATAAGGAAAGAACAGACATGGAAGTTCGCCATTGGAGGAGCTCTGATTTTCGATCGCAGATGCGAAGTACGAAGTTCAGTGGGGAGGAAATAGAAAATATAACTTTATAAGGTCCAGTTATTTCCACGTCAGATTATTGTTTTTCTTATTAATCTATGCGATTAGGTTGGGTAGGTTCACGTTCACGCGATCGATTAGTCGTCTAAAAATATAAATATTTATTTTCTTTATTAGACTTTCAATTATTGGGCCCATTGTCTTTGTAACAAGTGGGACCCAGAATATAAATATCTAGTATGCGACAACCAATGAATGGGCGCCACGACTTCACATAAAGATTCTTTATGGACGGGGACGAATCGTCTACGTCATGAATCATGATAAGGCATCAAGGGGAATTTTCAAACGTACCTTTCTCTTTTGACAACTTTTTTCCAGATATATATATATCCCTAAGAAACTCAGAAAAATAATAACATATATTTTGATGTCTATTTTTGATGCATTTCACGCGAGTGTAACGTATATTTTGGTCTCTAAATTTTTATTCTCCGTTTACAAAAATCTACCAAATGTTTCGTATTCTGTCAAATGCATTTTAATATTTATTTATAACTCAAATTAATATAAATAATTACGATAAAAAAAAGGGTAAGTGGATAGTTTTTTCAAAAATGAAAAGTAGAGAACGTAGAAATTGAATTCAAATCCAACTACCACTTAATTGTAAAAAGAATATGTAATTTTAAATCGAGCTCAATTGTTCAAAGTATTAATAACCCATTTCATGGGTCAAAATTTTAATCTCCACATTTTTATTGAAATTGTAATTTTGTAAGGTAAAAATATGAAATAAAATAGGTTAATGAAGGTTCACGTGTCACGTGGTTTTGAATTTTTTATATTTTATTTTGATTAAATATTCAATTTTAAGTTTCAAATAAATTAATTGGTGGCAAGATCAAAATTTTGTATTGTGGATATCGGATACGTGGCACTGGATCAGATCATAATCGACGTCGTATTTGTAAATTTAGTTTTTGTTTTTCGAAATATATTTAGTATTGTATTTTAGGGTGGATCTAACTTTTAATATTTTATTTTCCAAAATAATGTTTAAAGTTAAACTTCTCTTTTATAAAACTTAAATTAAAATAAGCAATAGACATACTACCAAGTACATTTCTGGTTTTTTATTCGATGAGAATAAAATAAAACAAATATATAAAATAATTATACTGAATGGGCCATAACCATAGTCCATAATCACATGTGTGGCCACGTCTAAAGTAAAAAATGGAAGGTGAGTCAGCTTCTTTCTGTAAAATTGTAAAGTTGTTTTTCTTTTCAAGCCACATCGAGCATAGTTTCTTTGAACGAGTGATTGGTCCTGACAGCAAAGCTAATGCATTTTAGTTCATATTAGTTGTTCAAATCGCTATATTATTTGTTTCACCCAATCCATCGGTTTAAATTTTTTATTTGAGTGGTAGTTAAACTGYATTAAAAACAATCTCCAAAAAAGACATTCATTTAAAACAAGAAAATGAAGAGTCAAATTATTTACCATAACACTTAATTCATGAATGTTTAACTAAATACAAGTTAATACATCAGGTATGATATGTCTAAATTAAAACATAATTAATTATCAACAAGTTAATCCACTTTCATCATTCCTTTTCATTTCTAACCGAATAAAACTGATAACTACATTCCATCTATTTTTAAATGTTCAGCTTTATCTACTTTTTAATACTCTTTAATTTCAACAAATAGGTTGAGTACAGTGGGTTACATATGAAAAAAATTAAATCTCATTTAGTCCGTAAACATTCAAGATTATTTAATTTGGATATCTAATTTTGAAAATTATTTAATTTAATTTTTAAATTTTAAAGTGAAATCTTTAAATCAAAACGAGCATAACCCCACAATAATTAACATATAACTTCAACTAAGAGATTGTGAATTCGATTTCCATCCCTACATGTTGTACTAAAAAATAGTACTTTACCTTTTTTTAGTACAACATGTGGTGGATGTGAATGAAACTCATAATCTTTTAGTTGGAGATTAAGGTTAATTATCTTAATATTTGTTTAGAATTATCTTAGTAATTAAACTTTAATTACAATGACGAGAGGGTACGTAATATGTTGGTTTAGGCGAGTATTAGATTTTAGGTAACAAATTAATAACAACTATTTTTTTAATATAACATGTGGGGTGGAAGATCGAACTCACAAACTCTTCATTTGAGATATATGTCAATTATCACTGACCTATATCTGTTTAGTAAACTAAAAAATTTGTTTTTTTTAAGTCCGATGCTAAAATAGAAATTTTAATTATTTAAAAATAGACATTTAAAAAACACAGGCATTAAATAACTATTTTTTTAAACAAAACCAAACTCAATATTTTAAACGTCTAGAAACGAAAATAAAGTTAAAGCGAACATAACTCAACGGTAATTGACATACTGAGTTTCATCCCACCTACGTGTTATACTAAAAAAAACACTGACTAAATTAAAACAATAACCATAAATTCGTTTGCAAAGGAAAATAACCATGGCATAAATTGCTGCCTAATGCTCAAGTGTCCAAATTCCTTTTCAACCAAATACGACATGTCGTTCCTGAAACGCAAGCGCGCGAAGCATCTGCCATTTATAGAACCAACGAGCAAACTGTGTAACCTCCATTACAGATTTACTCGCAGATTTCGATCAAATTTACAAGAAAAGAAAACGAACCACTGGGAAATGCCCAAAAGTACAAAAAGCTCAACTATAAGAAGTAATTTTCAGGACTAATAAGCATTTTTCTATATCAAAATCAATCCAAAACTATTGATTTTCCCTCCTACAATTCTCTCCGCACAGAAATTGAGGGATTTTTGCGTGCAGGTGGTTTCTCAAAAGCCAAGTTTACTTTTTCTTCCTTTTTTGGGTTTTTATAAATTATCGGCGAACAAAGAACGGATTCAGGGCCACCTCATCGTAGATTTGTTGATGCAATTATCAAAATGGACAAATTGGGTTCAACCCAATCCTAAACCTCTTCGATTCTTACACGTCTCTGCAATTTTTTTTGGGGCGCATTTTTTGGTTTCAGTCGCATCCTTAAAATAACAATCAAACTCCTTCCGTAAACTGCTAACACTTTCGTTTCTCTCTGGCTCTTAGCTTCTTTTACAGGTAATTAATCTCACCATTTTCTGCTTAATCCGTAAGATGGGGGAAAGAAGTTAGAATTTCACGAATCCCCATTAACTTTCTTCGATTAAAACGAGTAACTCAACTGGTTCTCCCTCTCTCTCTGTCTCTCTTCTGCTGTTCTACTTGTGCGGTTTAACTTTTAAGGTCTGTTCTATTGTGCCATTTGATCGATGAACGTTGATTTATGCGAGATTTTGTAGTTTTGCAGAGATGGGTCTCGCCAAGGAGTATGGATTTATGAATGAGATCGGTCTGGGACCTCGCAATTTGGGGTGTTACGTCAATGGCGTCTGGAAGGGAAGCGGCCCAGTGGCTTCTTCCTCGAATCCTGCCAATAATCAGGTTTCTGTTTTATTAATCGCCTGCAACAGTGACAGTCTCTCTTTTTCTCTTCCTTTTTTAGAAAAATAATGCGTAGTTTGTTATTAATCATGTTGATATTTCATTTTTGTTAAATATCATTTAGTTGTGTCTTCATTTTTGTTTGTCCGAGTCTTGGGAATTTTCCCATCCTCTTCTTTTAGGTGCTTTCTTTTATGCCAATTCAACTCGATTTTAAACGGAACTGTGGAGTTCTAGCTGAAATTTATGTGCACCACTTCTTGGTGGAAAACACTCGATTATTGTTCTGAAGATATCTCTGATTTGATTTGGGCAAAGTGCAATGTTCATTAGTTTGCAAACTTTCTGGCTGCTGGCTGACTATTGATCATGTTAGCTGGGAGGAATATTCTCCACTAGCACTTTCAATGATAGGATTAAAATGTAAAAAATAGTGATTAGGGGTTCTTATAGTTGCATTTCAACGATTCTTACTTCTATAAATAATTGCAATTATGAGAGAAGCTAATCTTTTGAATATAGCTCAATTGTTAAGACACCTGCACTTTCTCTTAAAGGGTTGTAAACCCACTCCCGTATCTGTGATGTGGTATTCTAGAAATTATGATTAATGAGATAAAGTATTGTCCAAAAATGGACTTCGAGTGCAGGGAGTGAGCAAGTGAAGATAGATAGTCCTTTGGGGCCGCCATATGTCTATGTTTGTGCTCTAGTTATACCATTTTGTTCTGACATATGGGGACTGAGAAACCAATGCAGAAATCCTGACTTTCTGGAATTTTTACAATGGCTGAAGGTCATCCCACAGTCTACTTGAATAAATAATTTTTTTTTTTTTTTTTTTGAGTTTATCGACCATGGGTGTGACAGTAGGTTACTTTATGCTTTTACCAATTGAGCTATTACTCAGTTGGCAAATACCAAGTAGTAGTTTATTTTAGGATTGTATAGGATATCGTTGTAAGCTTCAACATTGGATTTTAAGAAATATATCTAAGTGTACCTTGAATAAGCATCCATAAAACTAATTTAATACCTATATGGCTATATCCATTTCCAGAGGGTATAGATGCAGTACCCCAGAGATCAAACAGCACAAAAGATAGTTTCTTGGTATATACGGTTTGAGACAGAGAAGCGTGATTTATGGGTTTTATAAAGTGGATAATTGAATGCTACAATCCAAACGATATTATCCTTATCAGCTTCCATTTGCCATGAAAACTCCCAATGGGAGCTGAAGATTGTTGAATTTGCTTATTATTTGTTTAACAAGATCAATTATCTCTCTTTACTTAGATAATTGCTGAAGTAGTGGAGGCTTCCACCCAAGATTATGAGGAGGGCTTGGAAGCGTGTAGTGAAGCGGCAAAAGTATGGATGCAGGTGAGATTTTCTTGAGACAAATTGAACAGTGGAATGTTATTTTGAAGTATCCCAGTGCGCACAACAATGCTCTTCTTGGATTATTTAGTTTAATTTGATTGCACATGCTTCCTAAGCTGGAATTGGCCTTTTTATGGGCGCTTTTCATCTATTACAGGTTCCTGCGCCCAAGAGAGGAGAGATTGTAAGACAGATAGGGGATGCACTAAGAGGTAAACTCCATCAACTTGGTCGTCTTGTGTCACTTGAGATGGGAAAGATACTTCCAGAAGGGATAGGAGAAGTTCAAGTATGTTTCTCATGACCATTATAAATCTCCAATAATTCCACTTACAGAACCCCAACAAACCCCCACCCCACCCCACACACACACACACAAAAAAAAAGGATATGCATACCTCATGTAGTTTCATTTTAAAGGCATGATGTTCAGTTATTGTGCTATAGTGGGATATTACATACCATCGTACATGCTTGGACAATATTTCCCTACTGCACGCCACTAAATTTTGAGAGAGAGAACGCTGAGAGGGAATTTTAGTGGTGGTTAGTAGGAAAGTGCAGAAGTATTGTTCTTTGGCATTAGTTCTTGAATTGCCCCCCTCCCTTCCCTTTGTATTAAGTTAGATAGCAGCCTCATAAACAGAAGCAAAGTAGTCTGCATCTATTGTGAGCTTATTAGTGTGCTTTCTGTATGAGAGTGTGGCCCATTTGCATCAGTCTAATGCTTCTTCAGCCTCATGTATATACGTGTTCTGTGCCATATTTAAACCTTTATGCTGTAGATTTTCCCCCCTTTAGTAATGGAGGTGCCATTGCAGGAAATTATTGACATGTGTGACTTCTCTGTTGGTTTAAGTCGACAACTGAATGGATCCATCATACCATCTGAGCGTAAGCTAATCTTAAATATCAACAATCATTCAGCATCTTCATGTTTTCTGAGTTCCTCTAAATTTAAACTGATACGAACTGGACTTTTAATGTTTAATATCTGCAAATAGAATTCTTAATCATATTTACTTGTTAACAGGTCCAAATCATGCTATGATGGAGGTGCGCTTTGATTCCCCTTTTTAATTAAATTCATCTATAATCACTATCACAAATCTTCCATTCTGAATGTGAATTGTGTGCACAGATGTGGAACCCTCTTGGAATAGTTGGTGTCATTACAGCTTTCAACTTTCCTTGTGCTGTTCTTGGTAAGTCGGTGCAAAAATGAGGCTTTACAGAAGTTACATGATTATATATTTATATCAATGTCCGAGGATAGAGTGATATGATATTTTATTATATTCAATTCTGTATTTAGAGGGGGAGGCACATGGACACAGTCACCTGAATCAGAGAAATATTATATTACTATGAAGAATTTTCCCTTTCTCTTGGCAAAAATTCCTAAAGAATTTACTTTTTTGTTATTTCGGTTTAAATCACATAAAATTATCCTTTTTTATACATTTTTTATTGGTGATTTCGGTCGACTTTTAAGATGAGTTCTGTAATCTTGTCTCGATTGTTGTCGTGTAGGATGGAATGCTTGTATTGCACTAGTTTGTGGGAACTGTGTAGTCTGGTAAGTTATAATTTTTGTTCAATTAATCTATGATTTAGCATTCCTACATTTTAGGAGGAAGGAAAGAGAAGGATCTGAAATTTTTTGAAATGAGCTGCTTTTGACAGTCGCATTATTCATGTATTTATGTCCTTGTGGGACATTGAGGTCATTATTCTTTTTCTTCAATGTTGTTCCCAACTTTAATAGCACACAAAATCATCATATACTCTGAATGAAACCTATAAAAAGCTGTTGTGATTATATACTGTGATTGAAATTTTACAAAATGTGTATATTTATGAATAAAAAATCATTGAAGTCTGGAAACTACAAAAAGAGGAAATGGGAGATAAGATATCAAATAGTCATTAACAAGTTGAATCTTTTTTACACCATGAACTATCCCTGACTCCATCATGAATTATAGGAAAGGTGCTCCAACGACCCCCTTAATCACTGTTGCAATGACAAAGTTAGTGGCTGGGGTTCTCGAAAAGAACAACTTACCGGGTGCAATTTTCACATCCTTTTGCGGAGGTGCTGAAATCGGTCAGGCAATAGCAAAAGATAGGCGCATTCCCTTGGTTTCATTTACTGGAAGCTCCAAGGTAAATTTGTCACGACTCTTTTAATCACATCAAGAAAATGACAATCTCTTCTTGTGCTTGTATCACCATACTTTGTTTTTGCACCCCATTGTTGTTTTGTTGTTCTTAAAGACTGTTTTATTTTATTAGATCCGTGATAACCAATGAACTATACTGCATATGTCAAATTATAGGTCGGTCTAATGGTTCAGCAAACTGTAAACGAGAGATATGGGAAATGCTTGCTTGAATTAAGTGGAAATAATGCAATAGTTGTCATGGACGATGCTGATATCCAACTAGCTGTTCGTTCAGTTCTGTTTGCCGCTGTTGGCACAGCTGGTCAACGATGCACAACATGTCGAAGGCTGGTAGTATTCATTTTGATATTGCCCATGAACTTGTTACTCTGTTGGTCAAAGTGAAAGCATCTAATCCTGGAAGTTTGTATTCGTGTCTTGCAGCTGCTTCATGAAAGTATATATCAGAAAGTGCTCGATCAATTAGTCGACGTATACAAACAAGTGACAATTGGAAATCCTCTTGAGAAAGGTACCTTACTGGGGCCATTGCATACGTCGGATTCGAGGAAGAATTTCGAGAAGGGAATTGAGATCATCAAGTCTCAGGCACATTCGATATGCAACTTGCTTACTTTTCATTTCCATTTAGCTCCTTTTTCGGCCATGGATAGTGCAAAATGCATGATTTTGTGATGCTTTAACTTGTAGTTGTCGTTATCGTCATCGTCTGAGAACTTTTATGGATTTTCCGTGTTCAGGGAGGGAAGATTGTTACTGGAGGTTCGGTTGTTGAGTCGGAGGGCAACTTTGTGCAGCCCACAATTGTCGAAATTTCTGCAAATGCTAATGTTGTGAAGGAAGAACTATTCGCTCCAGTTCTTTATGTCATGAAATTTCAGGTGAACTCTTGAATTTGTGGCTTCTTTTGATGGACTTCCTATAACCACTAATTCCAGAAAGTGGTTTTCTTTTCCCCTCACCAAATTTTCCAATTTGTTCTGAACTATTTGCCTAGACGTTGAAAGAGGCAATTGAAATCAACAACTCCGTGCCGCAAGGGTTAAGCAGTTCTATCTTCACACGTCGACCTGAGATCATCTTCAAGTGGATTGGGTGAGTGTTTTAAGCTTTCAAGCCAATGCAATAAGTCCATTGTTGCTCATTACACAATTTTATATTATGCTATATCTTTGGTTGCTGTTTAACTATGATTGATTGTGACTTCATACAAATGGTTTATGTCATTCATTAGTTTTTAACTCCTTGCAGACCACAAGGGAGTGACTGTGGTATTGTAAATGTAAACATACCAACAAATGGGGCTGAAATTGGAGGTGCTTTCGGGGGAGAAAAGGCCACTGGGGGTGGTCGTGAAGCAGGAAGTGACTCGTGGAAGCAATACATGCGTCGCTCAACTTGGTACGTATTAAGCTCAAATTGATTCTTTGATGCATTATTCTTTCTTTCCTTTTTTCTTTTTTCAATAAATAAATTGGTGGTAGGAATAGGGAGACACATCCAATTATCCCAACTAGGTTGGCATAACCTTGACTGAGAAAAATATACAAAGAATTTAGAATAGATCAAGGAAACTTAAAAGAAGACTGCTACAAATTTCATTTACAAGAAAAGAGTTACAACTACCACCAAGGAGGAGAAACAATACTATAGGATTTTGGTAATCACTTTTGCACTTTTTTTAAAGACTAGTATATCATTGTAAAACATTAAAGGCATGTTTGGAAGTGATCCGTCATTTCCAAAATCATTTTCATTTTAAATAGTAACGTTTTACAATGATAGGTAAGCGATTTTAGAAAATCACACTCAAACATGCTCTAAAACTCTTAGCAGTCAAACAATCAGCAACACGATTGCTTTCTAAATACAGATATACAAGTAACTACAAACTCCATTTGAGAAAAAATGTAAACATTTGTTCTAAATAAGCTGAACCCCAATGCTAAAAAACTTGGGGAAGAGAAATTATTGGAGGCTAGAAAGATGTGGTCGGTGCCCTTATAAAAGGGATAACAAAATGTATTTCGAACCTATATCAATGGTTATTTGGGGCATATAAATTTCAAACTTGCATCCTATGGTTATTCATGAATAGAATGATCTTCACTAATTCACTGTAAGAGTAAAATCATTATCGAACTATAATTGACACCAACCAGAGCTCCAAGCCAAAGCAGAAGATAAAATGCAACCCATCTATAAAACTGAATCTTCTGGCTGATTGTCCACAGAATCTGAGCAGTGGGTCCTTTTACATAGCTAAAAAAATGAATCAAAACCCAATCTTCCAATAAATTCTTGGCATAACAAATTACTGATGAAGTTCATTTGCAGCACCATCAACTATGGGAATGAGTTACCATTGGCACAAGGAATCAATTTTGGATAGATGGTCAAAACAGGTCTGCTGTTTAATCAAGTACTCTTATTGAATCTCATTCTTCTCTCTCTTATCTCCTAAAATTTGCTACTTTTTCTTTTCTGTCTTTCCTCAGTTTGGTGCTTTTAGAGGAAGGGGCTTCATTTGAGGCTTCTGCTCCAGCTTTGACTGAGAAAAGATTTGGCGTTACCAACGCTTTTAGAAAGACAATTCCTGCCAACTAATAGAAGAGGGAGCTCCTTCAAAATCTGGCCGTATGCAACTCAAATAAATAAATTAAAAAAAAAAAAGTTTTCACAGGAATAACTTCATTCCAGTGGCTGGCTCCTCCCTCTTTCTTCATTTACTGTATTGTTGAAGACTTTTGCAATCCAATAATGAGATTTTCAGCAAGAATATGAATATGAATATGAATATGAATTTATGATAGTTGTTTGAAAAAGAAGGGAAAAAAAAACGTGTTGGGTAACTTATGAATTGATTAATTAATGAATTTGATGAGCGTATTTCTTGCAATATGATTCTGTAGTTTATTTTAAAAGGCTATGTGTTTCATCATTTTCTCCACTATTGGAAACCGAGGTGTGATCCACAAGATGGAAAATAAATAGTTTAACAAAAGTCAATTATGAGAATATTATAATCAATTTTATTTCATTATTAATTCACCAATGTGTATTAATCTAAAAATATATATATCATACACGTCAACGATATAAATTTCAACTCTATTTTACAATTAGTGAATGTCAATCGTTGGTATATAAAAAAAAGTAGTCATTTGGGAGTTGATAATGATGTGATAAATAAGAAATTGACCCATCTTTAGGAAGCAATTTTTGCTATAAAGTGATCAATGATTGATAGTTAACAATCATTCCACATCATTAACCATCAATAATTCACTCACTAATACATTGCAAGGAAACTTTAAAAGTTGACAAAATCAAAGAAATTGAATAAAGTATTATCATATTATTGCTTATTCTTATTATTAATATTACTTCAAGTAATAAAAAGAATCTCCAAGCAAAACGCCCAATGTTTTTCCAAAGAAAGGGAAAGAGAATTAAAATACAAGAAGAAGAAGAAGACAAGAGGAAAGTAATGAGGCATGCACAAGGCTTCTTCTTCTTCTTCTTTTGGGTAATAAACACATCTCACATTATTATTATTATTATTATTATTATTATTATTATTATTATTATTATTATTTTTGAGAAAACAGATTATTTGATTGGGTTATGTCAACTACTCAACACATCTTTGGTTACATTTTGTCCTGATTTGGTTTTTTTTAATAGTTTTAATAATTTTTCTAGAAATCTATAAAATTACACACTCCGGAATTTCTTTTTATGAGAAATGGGTGTGATATGAAACTTCCTTTTCTTTATATTTGATGAATAAAAATAATAAATGTGGCAACATTGTCGTACAAATTATTGCATCCTTTTATTTCCTGACTCCATAATTCCCATATAAAAGTTTGCAGAAAAATAAATGCAGTCTTTTATAAACTATTAATTACCCTCCTTTATTTTATTTTCTTGCAAATGACCTCCATTATTATTACTATTTTTTAACACATTATTTAATTTTCTTACATAATAAAAGAACTTGCGCAATATGCTTTCAAAATACAGCATTTTGATTAAATAGTTTTAACAAAAATAAAATAAATATTATCAGACTCAGAATTCAAATAGTAAAAGAAAAAAAAAAGATATCAAGAGCCTCTTTTCTGAAATGATATTTTTTTATGGATTTTTTACAAGGAAGAAGAATGAACATTATATTTCAAGAAAAGTAAAATATTGGGTGGGTTCTGGAATTGACAACTAAATTACTGTACTGAAAATCCAACTTCCATTAATATTTAGGCTAAATCGCACAAAATGAGTACGGTTTAAAACTTTCAATTTTGCCAGATAAATTTCCAATTCTGTCAAAATTTAAAAGAGAAAAAAAAACCATTATAGATGAAGAATATGGTATGATTTAGCCTAATGTTTTTTTTTATTTTCGGAATATAAAGTAAATCGGCGATCCCCCAATATTTTTTAGTTGAGTTTTGTGGTTGGTCCTTGGAATCCTGTACCTTTGATGATTCACGAACCGGAGGCGGAGAGGGAAGATAAACAGCTTCCTGATCGAGCGAGCGGCGGCGGGCGAGATGATTTCTTCGTCGGACTGCTGGGCATCGACCTCAAAGCCCTTGTTTGGGGAGAATCCATGCTGCGCTTCAGAATCTGTCTCATCGCCGCGATCAAATGCACCGCAGGGTTCGGAGGCGGTTTCAACGAGGTGAACTTCTTGCAGAGCTTCATGTGACTTTCCATGGCTTCCTCCGCCGTGATTAGGCTGTCGGACCGGAGAATTTCGTAGTTGATGGCCTCGGAGCAGAGGCCGCAGATCCAATTTCCATTGTATCGCTCGCGAACGCGTTCTATGTACGCCGGTGTGCACTCCTCTGAAAGTCCGCAGCAATCGCATTTCACGAACTCGACCTCCATGTGAGCAATTAGCTTCGCCGAAGCAGTTGCAGATTCAAGGATCGTATCACTAAGTACGGTTGCAGACATGGCGACTCTGCAAATAGAATCGATGATTATTTTATTAACAACGAAGAACAAACCCTAGAAATTTCGAAATTCGTAATCAGATCAAATCTAGGAGAGTACTTACTTACCAACAGAATCAGATAAAAAGATATGTAAATGAATTTGAATTTGAATTTCCTTCTCCCTCCGCCTTATTCTCGGCTTAATTTCCTGCTATCTCTCCTTTTCCCCCTTCCCTTCGTCGTCATCGGATGATGAAATTTCAGAGAGGAAAACCATTTCAAAATTGAAACTCAACCAATCAAATCAAAAGGCAGTCAGTTCCAATCAGAACCTTCCGCCAAGAAAAAATGGAACCGATCTCTCGCTTGAATCAAAATCTTCGAAGATATTCCAGATGAATTATCACAAATCTATAGAACACAACAGATCTCGAACTGAAATCAGGGCGGAGAGAGAGAGAGAGAGAGAGAGAGATGGAGGAGAATCGGAGGAAGGGCGCGTCGGGAATTATGGAGGAGAGATACGTGAAACTTGAAGGCTTATAAAGGATCTAATTCCGTTCGGCCACGTCAGCGGAATTGGCTGTCGGTAATTTTCAGCCGTTGAATATTAGACTGCCAGCTAAGCAGTTATCGAGTTCAGACTTTTGTTAGCAAATATGTGCTGTTTCGGAAGGTTGTTCCTCCTTTTTTTCTATACTTAACTAACCAATGCTTATCCTCCACGTGTACTCCATACAATTTGTACGGCGCGCCTACGTTTCAAATCTTTCTCCACGTAATTTCCTAGTTGTACTTCCTTTTCTTTCCTTTCCCTCCACTATCCAAAATATACTAATCTAATATTATGAATTATCTAATATTATTCTCAAAATAAAAAGAATAATAATCCAATTCTTTAGTACATATGAACTGAACGCTCTCCAATAAAAAGTTCTCACAGTATGGAATGGTTTTATACCACTTTAATTTGTTGATACGATCACGTTGGATTTTTTTGACCTGTTTTAGTACGCAAGTCGCGTTTTGTTTATTGTTTTTAAATTTACTGTTTGATAGATTTGTTTTTTAAAACTATTTCTAAATTCTGTAACAATAAAAATTTTGAAAACAATTTTTCTTTTTTCAGATTTTGAATCTAAAACTTTAAAATGTATAATTATGTTAAATAATATAAAAATTTTGATAAATATATTATATTATCTTATAAACTCATTTCATTTTTTTTAATTTAAAAAATATAATATAATACATTGTAAAATAATAATTCTAAAAAATTTATAGCATATATTTTTGAAATAATTTGGTAAAAACGCATTTTTATATCATTTTATTTAAATCAGCATTATTTTAAAAATACGTTTTAAAAAAAATTAACTAAATATTTAGTTGGTAAATAGCACTAACTTACAAATAAATTACAAAAGTACCCTTTATCGCTTAAAAATATGTTGTTTTGGAATACTTTTAAACTAAACAATTTCAGTAAAAAAAATATTTTTATTATAAGCACTTTGGTAGTCTCTAGATGATGAATGACTTTCTGTTTGATTCTAATAAGCATTTAAGTCAAAAGCATTCTACACATCCTTTCCTATAAAACATTTGAGTGCTACAACCTTAATAAAAAAAATTTAAAAAAAATAAAAATAAAAGTTAACTAATTCGAAATCTCTTTGCCGGTCAAAGATAACTAATTCGAGATAAATGCCTTTGAACATTAAACTATCATTAAGTTGGAGTTAAATATTTGGTTACTATAATCTAAAAACGAAGCCATGGCCGGTATAGCAAATAGGAAATAAAATTTTTTATTTCATAGAAGACCATTATAATTAAAAAGGTAATGTGAATGGATTAGAAGAATTGGAGAGGTGGCGTTTTCTTTTCGTTCTTTTTTTTTTTTTGAATTTTTTTATAAACAGAAGTGTTGAGTAATATTATTATAATCAGTGAAGAATATAAAAATAAATTAGGTGGAGTGTGGTCAAAGAAAGCAATAATTATTGGATTAGAGAAATGATAATAGGTTTGAATTTGATTTTATAGAAAAATTGGATTAAGAGAGAAGAGTATATACCTGGGCGATTATGCTGAATATAAAAAGATCCGATTTTGAAGAGCAAAGTCGGCTTCTCTCTGTGACTGAGTCCACTAATATCTTTTGTTAATAAGTGGACCAGGGATTGCCTCGCCCAGACCATCAACTCAAATCATTCATTTGCTTTCCACATACAATCTTGAGAAAGACGTATTATTATAGTGACACAGATGAACAACAATCCAACGGTTTTGGCAAAATATCAAAATATTACCAAATACAAATACAAACAACGAGACATGCTCTAGATATTTACTCATAGTATTTTGTGTAATTTGAAAAGTGAGAAATTTCCATGATTGTAATATACGGTCAATGATATGTCTTAACCAATTAAACTATATTCAAGTTAGTAAATAGAAGAATTTCGGATATTGCAATACTAGGAATTTTATTCTCGTTTCTTGTCAATGTCAGCTGTATTGATTTGTTGAAAAATGATGGGGAGTCCAACAATTGGAGTACCACAAGTTTTCTCATCACAAAACTTTGTTTTAATGCTTTAATCAATAAAATGATGAGTGAGAGAGAGAGAGAGAGAGAACCTCTCATCATATTTGCTATCCATCTTTCACTTGCTTTGATGTGTGAAATGATGAGCCAGAGACCTTCCAATCCCTTCCTATCTTTTCTTCACATCAGAGAGCTTTGTTTTGTAAGTTTTTATCTCTAACATGATTATAACAAAAAAGGCGAAAACACTGTTCATAATCTCCTTCCCATCATTTTTGGCCATCAGAAACTTTGTTTATTTGTCTCACATGTAACATGATGAGTTCCTCTGAGAACACAAATTCTAGAGATGCACGGTTTAAGGTCATTTTTAAATAAGGAAACAACATCGTCGTCTACAGAGATTCAGAAGCAAGTACCTCAAGAACTTGCATATATAAAGAACGCATTGATAACCGACATCTGAAATGGAGGTGTTAAGATGTTGTCAATTTGCTTTTCCAGGTAGCTTCAGCTTGTGTTCTGCACACATCACAATAATCAATCTCGCTCACTAATGGCAGTCAAATGCTCATCAACTTCTTCAGTGCTCAAAACTCTGAAGATGGGATTCTCCGACCTAACCACACCCACCTATAAACAATGTAAAAATGCATTTGCGTTATCATCATAATCACGGTGCAATTGACTCAAATAACATATATACAGTGGAATACAGCGCACCCTCTACCAATGACAATAACATAACTACATGTCGACATTATAGTGGAAGCTAGCACGTCAAATCAGAATTTGGATTTGAGACCAATCATGTACATCCCTTTCAAAAGAATTCTCAAGCATATTTGTTGAAAGAAGAGACGATGCAAATTTTAGTACCTCAATCTCGTTGGCCTTGAAGTCCTCTTGCAGCACTGATTGAAGTGCAGAAATTGCAGTCTAAGAACAAAAGAAATTGACATTAAAGAGTGGTCATATTCATCACAGCAGATCTTCAATTCTATGTTTGCTACCAGTATCAAAAGCCGCTTAACGGAAGAAGACGGCATAATTGAAAATAACCAAGAGAGAAATTACGCTTAAAGTTACATCAGAGAATATTTCCCATGAAGTCCTCGGCCCTCTTTTTAAGAAAAATAATAGTTGTGGACCAATATGGGTTATATTGCCAATTACTCAAAAACATTAAGAATAAAAATTTCTTTCAGAAAAGTATGCACAGAGATAATGATGCGTCCCTGAAATTAACAGAAGAGGAGAAAAAATATGTGACTAGTACAATATCTAAACATTTGAAACAAAGTGAGATCTACCTGCACTGTCTCCTCATAAGTAAAAGCAGGATCGTTCTTCATTTTCTTTTCAAGGAAATTAATGGCCTCCTGCTCCTTTAGTCCAGCACTAGTGGCCTAAATGACAAAATTGTTAAGTCTTACTCGCATAGTTAACCTAATAGTAATATCAAGTTAAAAAGGTAAAAGAAACTAAAGCATTGGAATACATGACATTAGACAAACATGAAACAAGTATGCTAAGAAGCATGTAGTTAGTAATATTGAAGCAACTAAGAAATTAGAACAATCAGTATCTCAGTTCTTAAGAAAGAACATGTTATTCTTCAGAAGTCAACCCACGTTCTTCAACCAATTTTGAAAAAGGTAGATTGTGAAGCAGCTTAAGTGCAGTGTACTCTAAATAGCAATGCCTCCCTACGCATCACTATAATGATGGTGATCAACAAACCATCGTGCCCTCAAATAATAGTGTGTAAAAATTTACATTTGAAGGCACATGCTATTTTACACAAAAGCAAAATACATATCCATAATACTTGTACATAAATCAATGCTGTTTAAAACAAAATTTCCTTAGAAGCAAGAAAATAGAAGAGTTAGTATTTTTGTTTTCTTTTTTAAAACATTTAACTCTTTTATTTTCTTCTTTTGAAACAAGAACCTTAACTTGATGCACTGAAAATATGAAGCAATATTAAAAAAAGTTATCCACCGTCTAGAAGCTTAAGAAACACTCCAATGTCAAAATATATATATATATATATATATAKAKAKAGAGAGAGAGAGAGAGAGAGAGAGAGAGAGAGAGATTTTGAATAAAAAAACATCATTTGGTAATCAATTGTTAATGAAAATTTTTGCCATTGTGGCATCCACCTACCGGAAAATATAAAATTTTGAACATAGGTGCATGTTGCAAATTGTATGGTGCTCTGACCCAATTTTTTTTCCTTCTAAAAGGAAATTTACCTTGTGACCAAAGAAATGACCAGCAGGATCGCATTTATAGAGCCGAGGCCCATACTCATCATCAATGCCCAAAACCATTGCCACTACAGGAAGTCCAGAAAAAAACCAAGGATTTAGAGGATAAATAAAGGCAGTTAAAAAGCTATGCCAATCAATATAATATGATAAGGTTCAAGCATTATATGCATCTAAAATAAGAAATATGCGAGGAACCAACCAACTCCAAGTGGTCTCATATAAGCATGCTGGGTATAGATCTGTGATTTATCAGCAATCCTGCAAACAAATAATTCCAACATCATAAGTCTAGTTCCTGAAATCGTCTTCCAAAACTCATTGATCGATGTGCATGTATCTGACTTGAAAAGCAATATCAAAACAAAATCTCCATGAATGATTCATATTTAAAAACCTTGCCTAAACTTCAAAGAAATATTATAGGGCGTTAAATGTTGCCGCGTAACAGAATGCAAATAAAACAGCAGCAGTTTCTGAGCAGTTGACTCAAAAAATAAGGAGATTCTCGTAGAAATAAATAATCAGTATACCATTTAGCCAATACATCCACAGGCATCTCGTAGCCATATCGGAATCGAAACTCAGCTGCTTCGTTCCTTGCCTGTTGAACCAGCGATCTGGCATCAGCTGAATGGCATAGAAAAAATGTGTAAAGAATTCAATCATTCAAATTTGAGCCAAATAGATATTTACAATGAAGCATATGCATGTGGTATTTCAAACTAATAACAGTACATTGTACTGTAGAATACTAGTACCATTGCACCATCAGCATAAATAGCATGAGTAAATACACACTAATCATACGCATATGAGACTAATTCCGGAATATAGTCAAGGTATTCTTCTACAATCAGTTTATCAGAAGCCTGTTATCTTAGTGAGTACAAGTTTATCATCAGTAGAATTTGAAGTCAGCAAAAACATGAGGCAAGCAATCTGTTAGGAAACATGCTGCTTTATTGAATGAATATGCAGTAAAAATGATACAAAATGTACCTGTAATGCCAGTAGCCAGCAAACCCAGATACTTGGTGATGGAGAAAAGGTGAGTGACACTTGTCTGATCCAAAAGTTTATCCTGTGATCAAAATGGGAATTACTACAAATGAAACGGAATATGTAGCATCAATAAAAGAAATTCTGGGAAGTGGCACGGTCAAACCAATAATACTTACAGGGACCTTCTTCTGAGTCACAACACAAACCGAATCCTTCCCTTTGACACCAATCGAGGTAGTTCCAGCAGATTTCACAGCCTTGAACGCATACTCTAGTTGATCATTTCAAAACGAATAAGTCGTGAAACCATAACTTATTTGACAAGCTAAATCATGAAACTAAGCAAAAATTTTATGATAAATGTATCACTGACAACAATGTGAGGCCTCTGGGACATTATAACAATTTATCAATTAGAAACTATTTCTTCTGCAATCTTTCCTAATAAATGGAGTCACTAAAAGCAAATCCAGCATCAAAGACATTGATTAATGATTGTCGCCCTTCCAACATAAAGTTTCCAAATATTCTAAAAACACACCGCACTTAAGAAAACCCTAACACGCACAGGTCAAAGGCCATACATCTAGAATACACTTGCAAGAGAAAAACCATCGTCGTCGCACAGGAAAGACGAAGTTAATTTGCGCGTTTCCCCTTAATTCCGTCCGACACAAACTAAACGCATTCTCTCGACATTAATCCAAGTGAAATGAGGAATTACACTCAATACATCTAATTAGAGGCAGAATCTATACACCCACCACACCAAACTCACCTTTACTTCCTGAGAAATAGCATCACACTTCAGAAGAGAGATATTCCCTTCTTTTACCGAGAGTTTTCACCATTAGAACTAAAAAATCAAGCTAAATCACTTCAAATATAATCATTCTGAAACATTAAGCGAAAATGGCAAACCCTAGGAGACATTTCAACTGGTCCGATCGAAACAAAGAGATCGAAGACGGAACTGCATACATACCGACTTGAAATAAGCGGCCCTCGGGTGAGAATATTGTAATGTGACGATCATATCCACCTCCACTTCCACGGCTCATGGCTTCTGGTTCAGATCGATTAGGGCTTCTACGGGATTTTGGGGTTTGTAGAGAAAATGACTTTTCTGATAGAGCTTGGAGAAGAATATAGTAGTCGAGCCGCGAAAGCTTTCTCGCCAAGAAAACCGCGCACGCGCAGACAGGCACCACCCGGCAGCAGTGACTGGCTAAACACCTTTTTTTTCCTTTTAACTTTTATTTAATTTTACATTTTACATCATTTTAATTTAATAATTTTCATCATAAAATTTTAATTGAACAAGTTAGTACATATTTATTTTTAAGTCAATCTAAGTTCAACCGTGAAGACAACTACCAAACTATGACTAAGTGTTAATTGACATGTATATCTTCAATCGGACGGAAAAGAAAATAACAATTGATTAAGACAATTATCTTCAATAAAAAAATCGTGATGGGAGATAAGTGTCTTAAAAAAAACATATTTCTTTTTAAGTATATGTCAAATGATTTTAAATCAAGAGAGCATAATTCAACACATATCCCTGACTAAGATCGAATTTTAAATTTCCACACCACGTATTGTCGAACTCAATAGAATAGAGTATAGTTCACTCTTTTAGATACAAGTAAGTTAAAATATTACAGTATATCCGTAAATTGAAAATTAAGGTTTTTTCATCCAAAATTTCAATAAAAATATTAGGAAAATTGATTATTTACAACAAAAGAAAAAAGTTATTGAAAAATAAAACCATCTTGTCACGAATGAGTTCGTGCAATAATTTTGAAACAGTAAAAGAAATTGATTGTCACGACCTCGATATAACTTCATGGTTAAAATATTGGTAGAGAGGAAAAGAAATACTACTAATCTCTCAAATAAGCTTCTTAAAAAAAAAAAAAAAAATCTCAAAAAAAGAAAGAAATAATAAATAAATAAAATAATCTCTCTCTAATAAGCTGAAAACTTGAATCCTCTCGCTCTCAAGTTTGCAATGCTACATTATAAATAAATTAAGACACTTGTATCTCATTGCCTTCACCTTCAACTATTAGTTTTGGGCCAGTTCAGATATTTCGGCCCACAAGCACGACCCAAATAAGTTGATTTGGGCTGATTGGGATTTTGGCCCACAAGCATGTGGCCCAATCAAAATACTGCTTCTGAATATATATATATATATATTTTTTTAATACATGCTTCTGAATATTTAAGAAAGTCAATAATTTGTTTGATTAGAATATCTTTAGAGTTATATTCTTTTTTTTTTCCGACGACTGAAATATTTTTAATTTGGCATGGTTATATACAGGTTCTTAGTGTACTTTTTCTTGAACTTTATTGCACTGTTTTTTCGTATCTTTCTTTTTCATTTATTTATTATTATTATTATTACTATTGACCGCTCAATCCATCTCTACTATTATTTAAAAATTTATTCAATTTACATATTTTAAAGATATAACTTATAAGTTGTATATATATATATAAAGATATCAACCACCACACTTTTGTCATGTTATAGTTTTTATAGTGTAGTATAAATTCAACTCCTTCCAAAGATTAAATCATATTTTATCCACGTAAATTTATTATTATTATTTTTTTAATGTAACAACCATATTGTTTATCCACTAGTGATCGATTATAATTCTAATGTTGTGTACGTGAGTTTGTAGATAATTTAATACCTCGAATCATTGAAAGAAGCGAGTATACTTATTCCTACTATCAAAATTGACATGAAGCTACAAGTATCAATTTAATATTTAAAAATAAATAAATGTTTAAATGATCGATACTTTTACTATTTTCAATGGTAATCAACAAAGAAACTTTGTATTATTTATCGAGGTGTCTTAAAAGGTAAAATATTTAATTGTAATTGTTTTAGTTGGACACGTTTAACTTAATTCAACCAACCTTGAGTAAGATTTTCAAAGTAAAAGCTTTGAACATTTTATTTGAATTAAAAAATTTACTCACCCCAACTAAATCCAACCTAGAATACCCTAGGTCCAACTCTCTCAACCTTAAATCAAATGTCAAAACTGGTGGAATAGGCCTCTTCCAGGTCAGAAAGCTTCCTTCAACGAGTGCGCCTGTTTAACTTAAACTCTTGAAGATGTCGAATTGTATTATTCTTCTTCCGATTCAACACACTCCTATTTTTCTACTAAGAAAAGAAATCGCATTGTTCACAGAACAAACATAGCTTGAAATACTTCATATAAAAAAATTCATCGAGCAAGTACGATTATGAACACACGGGTCCTCCAAATAAATAAGAATGAGCCCCCCCTGTAAAAATAAGGTGAAGAAAAGTAACAAAAGGTGCATTGAAACAAAGAAATGTGATTGATGAAAATGACCCAAAGTAGATAGAGGGGAAAGAGTATAAATTTGGGGTTACTTGTTGGTCCATGTCATATGAAAATCAGCTAGCCTATTATTTGTTGATTCAATGGTTCCACGTTATCTTTTTTGATTGATCCAAAAATAAGTGGAACAGAGCTCGTTTGGCTTTCTTGTCTTTTATCCTCGATTTGATTTCGTGGTCAAAATTGGCAGAGGGCTTCTTTTATTGACTTAAATATACTGACAAAATAATTAGCTTTTCTGTTGTCGAACCATAATATCCATGCTAGCTGTAGTTCGGAATAGAGATCGGAAATCACCATCTATCCCATTCTATTGCTTTTGTTGTTTGGTTTCTTTATATAAAAAATAATATTCGAGTGGGAGTTTAAATATTCTGTTTATACAAATGTTACACTTTTGTTTAGATTAAAATTTGAATCTACGACTTTTTGAAAGAAATAAAAATATCTGAGCTGTAGGCTATAAGATATGTTATAAATATCTTAACAGTCAAATTATGTTTTCCCACCAGAAACAATCATGATACTAATAGCATTAAAAATTTTCATGCTACTTAATTGTTATTAGTCATGTCATCTCTATTTAAAAATAATGTACGGTCTGTGAGATAAAAAAATATCGCTAAATAGGTGTTCTATAGTTTTAGTAGGTAGTTTGTATTTTTTTATTTTTCGTTTGGTACAAAACAAACTAGATTTTTATAGCTTACTTTCTATTGTTGTTGTTGGGTAAATCTTGATATGATCCATGTTGGCACAATCATCGTCGAATTACTAAGAAGATGTCAAGTTATCCAAGGACACACTTGCAATGCATAGCCGCATCCCGACCGACCTACATGCTCACCATCAATGTCATTCACGTGTTCTCAAAGGTCAAATTACATATTTGTATGTCGCGATTGAAGTTAGATCATCGCAACTCGATATCAAAATAGACACACTTGAAATTTTCTAATATTTTGGAATTGCCTAGAGAGGGAGAGTTGGTTTATTGGACACATACTATAGAGATCAAAGATATATTGCTTCAAATCAAATGCGATGTTTGTTTCTTCATTACAAATAGAAAAGGGAATTGATTAGGTTGGCTCACAAGACAATTTGAGTAGCGGTGGGAAGGAGAGTTGAAGACATCTAACTTGAGGAGTACTTTTTGAAAAATTCAGCTTGACTATTCAAGTGAACACGAGACAACCGTGTGATTTTACTTCTTTTTTAATGCATGTTGTTTCTTAATCTTCTTTATATTTCTCCATTAAAAAAAGACATATCTATAAAGCTTTTTTAATAAAAAAAATCACTACCACAAATGATTTTAGTGTTCAAATATCAACAAAACAATACACGACATTGGAGGTGTATACCAATAGATGATATCACAAGTAAACAGATAATGCAAAGAAATGAAACTTAACAAATAAGAACGAACAAATGAACAAAAGTAACACAGCGTGGGGACAAAATGTCGAATAATTAGAAAACAATAGCAACAAAAAATCACGTGAAAATTGCCCCTAACCAACCCACCACTAGAAGCAAATTAGCAGCCAAGTAGGGCCTCCCTTTTTCCCTTTCCTTATCGCCCATGGGAATTGTCAATGATGAAGAAGACATATAGTACACAAAATTGTCAAATTAGAGTTTTTAAAAATGGCCAAATCTTGGTCCATAATAACCCTCCTCCCCAAGTCCTAAACTCCCTAATGATGTGCCTCTCGCCGGCTGGCACAACAGTAATTTTTGTCTTCCCCCTGCCCCCTGCCCCGGCCCCTTTACGACGTCGCATATGGCATTAAATTCCGTGGCGATTTCTTTGTCCGCCCCATCATTTTCTCCGGGTGCCCATCACGTGGTCTTGTTATCATCTCATCATGGTCCCCCATCGGACGGTGCCAATTTCACGCCAGGGTTGGATTAGTACTACCACATGGGACCATCGTGGTCCTGGCTCTAGAGGATTACCGTCCCTAACTAGCCGCCTCGCCAATAAATCGCCGCTTTATTAAATTTAAAGTTGTTCATTTACTTTACTTTTATTGCTTTTCTCAAGTAGTTTTGTGGTCTTTTTATCAAACACACTTATTACATTACTGGACTTCTAATGATTTAATTTAATTTTTTTTTAATCAGGAGAACAGGAGATAAAAGAAAGTAACAAATTAAAACTTATTTAATTGAATTAGACTAGATACAGGCCTGTTGATCTATTTATACTAATATACTACTAAATTATATTAAGACAATCTCAAATCACTATTCAAATATTATAATCCAAATTATATTCTGATTTAAACAACATAATCTAATAATGATTCAAATGACATTGTCTAATAATATAATCTCACAAAAACTTGAGAAGAAAATATTTAAATTTTGATACTCGTACAAACATTGAGGTCTCAATTTTAAATTTCTATAAAATTACTGTTAAAATATTGATTTGATAGATATTCCTAGAAAATTTATAATAAAATCATAAAATATATTTAAATTAATAAATAAATATATCACACTTTGTAAATAAGTTTAAAATTGGTATAGTGTCCACATTAATACTATTTTATTGATATTTGTTTATATAGTGTCAAATTTTTTACAATAAAATGAAAATGTTGATATCGAACATATAAAAATCTATGAAAATGTGTCCAGACAAGTTGATGTAAATTTTAAATGGGGCCGAGAAGTCATTCTTTCTCCTTTCTTTCTCTTGCGGAGAGTTTCAATACTCAAATTTTATAAACAGCTTTATCGTGGTTAAATTTCAAGTTCTTTTAATTTCGACACTTGTTAAACCATGTGTATAAGTCGTATTA